ACCTCTTCTCTGGCTAGGCTGGGTTGGAGCCGGAGACCTCAGTTTTATTTGACCACATTTATCTCCAGGGGTCACTGAAAGCTAAGAATAAGAAGGGTCACCGAGTTCCCAACACTATTTGCCAGAAAATCAGGGCAAACTTCATTTCCCACCACGGATGCAGTTTTAAATGCTGGCATTGGGACCAGCTATAGAATTGTCTCTGTTTCTCACAATCTTTCTCATCACAGTGCCTTCCCTATTCCCTCTCTCTCCCTCTCCCTCTCTCACTTCCTCTCTCCCTCAGTTCTATTTCTTAGCCACTGACAAGTCCTAGCTTACAAAGACATCAGTAGGTTATGTCTCCAATTCCTAAACCTCCAGGGCATTTCATGACCCAGACAAGCTCACACCGCATGCATTGAGTAGGACCCATCTGAGGCAGAGATATCCATCAACACTTCTCATCCATCTAGGAAAGGCAGTCTGCAAAGTACACCTATTCGATAGGTTCTATCTAGATGTTACGCTGATCCTGTTCTCTAGACATCTACTTACACTTCAGAGAAGGGGATCTCTTCATTTTAAATGTAGCCCACTAGTCTTCACACTGCGGTCAGAGAAAACACCAAGGAAAAGTTTGAGCTCATCATCACTGCTCCCTTAAACCCTCTCAGTGGCTCTGTGCTGCCCTAAGAGGGAGTCCACATGCTTCCAAATGACCACCATGCCCTTCTTGGTTTGGCATTTGTGCTTTCTTCCAGCCTCATCTCTTACAGCTGAGCCCTCTCACTCCAGCCCCAACCACTGAGCATGAACCAGCCCCTCCACCTGAAATACACTGCTCTACCTGGACCCCCTTCTCCAGTGGACATCCCCTTACCATCCACCACACTCTGCCCACCCCACTCAGCACCCAGGCTGGATTGGTCATGTGACTGAGGAGTCTCTCTGGCCACTCTTGTGCTGTTCGTTCTTCAGGTTTCACCTCTGCTGAAGCTTCTCCTGAACACTTAAGTCCGAATGAGGCCCATGGCCTCCGTCCTCGGGGCTCTCAGAGCTCCCTGCAGTGACCCTACTGCAAATGAGTAAAGCTATATTTTAATTGATTATTTACTTACTTAACTCCTCTATTTAGATTCCTTGAGGGAGGCACTGTGTCTTGTTCCTTGTTATACAACCAATGCCAAGCACAGGAAGTTCTCACAAATAGTTGCATAATAAACCTATAATCCTCAGTGGTACTGAAGAAGGAAAAAATGATCAGATGCTCCAAAAATCATTTTGGTTTGATTCTGGAATGATCTATTTTCTGTGAATAAATTTTCTTGGCAGAAATACAGAATTTACTTTGTACACAGGTACACATGGGCCACAGATAAGCCATGATCCCATCTACTTGCATGGAAACAAGGGAGAGAAGAATTACTGGGGCTTTACAATTGGCTGGAAAAATCCAGTGACTCTGAAGGCAGATACAAAAATCTTGATCTGATCCATGTGTACTAATAATATCTGGTGTCCTGGGCATTTGTTGTTTTGGCTGGGTGGTACCCATTCATTTTGACTTTTCACTAGGAAATTGCCTCCTACTTGGCGATCACATGCTTCAGTTGGAGATGATTTCACTCCCACCCCAATGGTCCTAAAGGGCATAAAGAGAGCATCATATTCCTCTGCTTACAGTGATTGGTTCTGGGTAGGGCGTGGATATTAATCCTAGTCAAAGCTGCAATGAGACTTCTGCTGAGGTCACTGGGAAAGGGGTATGGGCTTTTTTCTCACTGGACTTGGACCCGGTATGATACTGGCCTGTAGTTGCTGGCAGTCATATAGAGCTTAGAACTAAACCACATCAACTGGAATGGAGTTGGGAGATAGAGAAAGATTTGGTTGGAGCAGACTTGATTGAATCCACCATTGCCTAAAATTAGGCCCATCCTCGACATTCAAAATGGGGGGGTCACTGAAGTTCCTTTGTGTTGAAGTCTGTTTAAGCCACTGATATATCTGGAAAGCATATTCATATGTGTTACTGGAAGAGCTGATGGTCAGGGGCAGGGTCAGAGAACCTCAGTGCTCTGGGAAGACATGTGCTTCTAGAAACAGATAGTGTTTGCCTTACCTCCCCACACAATAAGTCACACTGGTGTCCCCCACTGCACATGGGGTTGGGAGCTTGTGTTTTTAGATAAATGTGAGTTTTACTTCAGGATCTGTCATTAGAAACATCTATAATCTTGGAGAACCCTTCAACTTCCTAAACTTCAGTTTCTTTTTATGTAGAATGAAGAGTTTCAACAAGATGATTCCTATGGTACCTTCCACTCATAAAAATGATTGTATAATTCTCACTTGCCAATGCCAGCTTGTTTAATGTAAACCTGTTGACTAATTTCATAGACCCTGCTGGAGCAGATCTAGATGCTACCGGAAAAGGCCTCAAGCTGGTACAGACCCTCTGTGCAGTGGATCTGCAGACCAAAATCCAGCACCATGGACAGACAGTCTGGCACACCAGACATATGGAGGAGTGGCCCCTGGGCTGTGTATAACCTAGGAGCAAATTGGCCTGCATACTACTTTAATCTAAGAGTAAGAATCTTTATAGCCCCAGATGTGGAAATTTCTGAAACATCTAGGTTGATATAAATTGATAACTATGAATAAATTTACTGACCTATTCTTTGACCTGGTCTCTGTTTTTGAGTCTTTTCTTGGTTGTTTAGAGTTGAACCCTAAAGTTATTGCTCCTGGAACCAAAATACCCTTCTATTTAAATCACAAATTGGTAAGGTTGTTTAACTCAGACATCTAGATTGGGAAGACCAACTAGTTTTCTCTCTTTTGCGGTCTCAGATTGTGAATCTGAACTTAAACAGCCATCTCACAAATAGCTGACCTTGAACACCAGGGTGTCCCAGGTGGGAAAGTATGACAGACATGCCCAGGGTCGTCAGCGCTGCAAACACAACTGAAACATGGCTTCTTCAATAGAGTCATCAACAGCTTTCACATCAGACGCTATTGGAAAAGGCCCAAGCAAGCCCTACATTTTCCTAGCAATACATTTTCCTAGGTTTTGGTTTTTGTGGTGGCTATTGTTCTATTTTTTTAATTTATAAGGTGTGATCTTTGACTAAGTTCTTTATGGGGACTATCATTTAGCTAGGGTAAAAAAGTGTTAAATAATTTATTCCCCTCTGCTCTTCTTCTCTCTGTTTGCCCTTGTTAGGTAAATAGTGGAGAGTTTTCTGTTTCTTGGCTTCAGGGATCCCTGTGCTGATGGTTTTCAATCATGATTCTAATCTGGACCTTTCTGGAATTCTGCCTTAAAGTGTCTAGGAGTTAGGTGAAATTTTTCTCTTAGATTTCCTACCATTATTTTAAATGCAACATGATTGAAATCAAATTCATGATATGTACCATAAAATTAGATTTTCTTAGCATCTTCCCCATCTCTGTCAGTAGACTCACAATTTCCTAGTCTGCTGACTTCAGTCCAAACTTTGAAGATATCCTAAACTGAGACTCTCTCTTATGTGTCTTGTCACCAACTTTGCAATAAGTTATATGAAATAGCTCATCTCCTTTCCTTTTCCATTGCCCTGGTCTGTGGCCACCGTGGTTCGTGTCTGAATGATACAGCAGCTCAGCTGCCCTCCCTGAGTTTCCCCAATTTTAGTTCATCTTCTCTCTGAGGCTAGACAAATTTCCCTAAGCCTACCCTTTATCCTATCATTCCTTGGCACTAAAAATGTCAGTATCTTCCTATTACGTCACATTAAACTTCTTGTAAGATTTCAAAATTTCCCATTTTCTACTTTATCCTATCTATTCAAATTCAACAATGTTTCTGGCTTATATTAATTATCCTAGGAGTTTCTACATATATTATATTTCTTGTATTATTCCCTATTATTATCTTCTAAGCACTCTCTTTGCTAACAACATCACCTGCACCCTAAGTGTTCATCTAACACCCAGATTCATCCCCACACCTATGACTTCATCCATGATGATTCCCCATCTAGGATACTCTGTCTTTCTGTTCTAGGACTCCCTGTGGCCTCTCCAGGAAACCTACCTCTCTATTCTAGCCAACACTGATCTCCCTCTCCTCTGAATATTCATAATGTTTATGGTCCATACTAGATGAGATCACCAAATAACCTGCTATTTCCTGTCTGTTCTGTTTGTTTTCTTCCCAACCAGACCATAAGCTCCTTGGTGGTGAAGATAAGGTTATATGCGGTCTGACAATTAAGTTTGTGAACTAATTGCAACAATGCGGCTAACCTTTTATGATCTCAGAGAGATTATTCATTATGAATTTGTACCAACTGGACAAAAAGTTAACCAAATTTACTACTTGGAAGTGCTAAAAAGGCTGCGTGAAAAAGTTAGATGACCTGAACGTTTTGCCAACAATTCATGGCTCTTGCATCATGACCGCGTACCAGCTCACACGGCACTCTCTGTGAGGGAGTTTTTAGCCAGTAAACGAATAACTGTATTGGAACACCCTCCCTACTCACCTGATCTGGCTCCCAATGACTTCTTTCTTCACCCAAAGATAAAGGAAATATTGAAAGGAAGACAATTTGATGCCATTCAGGACATCAAGGGTAATATGATGACAGCTCTGATGGCCAGTCCAGAAAAAGAGTTCCAAAATTGCTTTGAAGGATGAACTAGGCACTGGCATCTTTGCATAGCTTCCCAAGGGGAGTACTTCGAAGGTGGCCATAGTGATATTCAGCAATAAAATATGCAGCCCTTTTCCAGAATAAGTTCGCGAGCTTAATTATCTGGCCTCGTATACTTCTTTGTCTGCTCCACAGTGTCCAGCAAAAGGCACTCAATAAATACTTACTGAGTCATGAAAACTGATTTATAGCAATTAGGTTTGAGTAGGGGTCAGAGGGAAAGGAGATCAATCTAAGTCTAGGTCATCTAGATAATTACTTGGGTCAACCACTCCAGGTCCTCTGCTGCTCTATCCCTCATGATTACTTTACCTGCAGAGCTGAACCTCCTGGTCAAACTGCGAGTTCTCGGGTTGTGTTCCTTCCTTCAGCTGGCTGACGTTGAAAAAGGAGAGGGTATGGTTGACAAAGCCATGCAGAGTCCCGTTGTGACTATAGGCGTACTGGTACACAAGGCGGGGGATAAAGTCGGAGGTGACAGCAATGACAAAAGCCTGAGAAACAGAACCACAAGCACTTGAGGAGAGGTCAGGATGGATGTTGTCCAGGTGGCACAAGGTCCATCTGGCTGAGAGACGGTCCCCCCTTGGTCTCCCTATCCAGAGGCGCTACTCTGATTGATACAGAAGTTCTTATCTCTGAGCTCATGTAGCTGACTTACCTGGCTTTTCAACCTTTGATATGTGTAAGTAAATCCACAAGACAGTCGCTGTCAAGAGAGGAAATTACAACCACTATAGCAAAGGAAGCTAAGCCATTTTGGACCATTTGGTGCTGGAGGGAATAAATCAGCTCTGAGATATCTAAATTGACACTGGTGTTGGCCAAGCTAAAGCAGAGTGGAAGACTGTCTGAGGAAATTACCAGTAGTGATGAGAGTGCCACTGAGGCACAATGGGCAGGGACACTGAATGACCATGTACATCTGCCCCTGAGTGACACCAGAAAGCCAGGAATACTAAAGATATGGCCCCACAATTCCCACAATTTGACTATTATCTCTCGGCACTTTTTGGCACATAATATAATAGAAGTGGTTCTTTCGTTTTACTTTAAAAAAAGTGAGACATAGCGGGGAAATGAGTGGGTCCTGCTGGATGGAACCACACATGCCCAACATAGCGTCTGGCATAGCTAAGCACTCCATAAATGTCTACAGAGCAAACCAAGTGACAAATGAATGATTGCATGTTTGAATGTGGAGGTACTTTCTGCAAAGAATATCTTAAATCTTTTTGGCAAGTGTTTATACTGTATTCCATACCAACAATTAAAGCCCTTTTAAAAAATGTAGTTTAGGCACTATTTTCTAAATGTATATATGAGTGTGGATGGCCATAACCATATTTGAAAATGAGTAGCATAATAATCATAGCTACAACTACTGAGCACTAGCTATATGTCCTTTCATCATCTCATCTAATTTCCAGAATGATTCTATATGATGGATGCTCTTATTCGCTCCCATTTTTACAGATAAGTGAAGAAGTCTTAGAGAGAGAGGCCAGGGAAGTACAACTTCTGAAAGAGCTTGGAGCTCAAGGCCTCTTTCTAGTAGACACAACTCCAAAGTAGCTATTGATCTGTTTTCCAAATTGTACCTTATTTCTCAGCCTCAGAATGTGTGCTTCCTACATCAAATATTCAAATCGCAAAGAGCTGATCCTGTCTGCCTCCCCTCACACCTCTCCAGCCATTTTGTATATTAACAGGGAACCATGTTACAGCCCAAATCAATGTTTCTCTCCCAAGGGAAAACAGGCTGTGGCTTTCTGGGTGTGCACTGAGCTGGCTGATATTTTCTTGGGCGATGGAAGAGGAGGCCTTGCCTGGCCACCATCCATACAGAATGCAGGAGCAAAAGGAGCTGTTGGCTTGGGCTCAGCAGGATTTCCTCTGCAATGTGGACATGTCTGGCAAGGCAGTTAAGGAGATCACAACAGGTAGGACCCCTCTTCTTCCAAGTCCTATCTTCACCTACGCAGTGCCAGAGTCCATGGGGATAATTAAGACTTCACATTGACAACTTGGAGGAACCGTAATTAGGAATTGCAGCCTGGGCAATGCTCCAAGTATTGTTTAGCTCAGGAGTAGAAAAGAAAGGAGATGGCCAGATACACGGAATTCTTTCCTCATTAATCTTGGCTCTGAGGGAAGATCTGATCTGGATTCTTAAGTGGAAGGTATGCATTTTGGTGGGCAATTACCTTTCTTTCTTTTGGTGAAATTAACAGTTAAGTGGCACAGCGCTGGTGAAAGCATGAAGAGTTAGAAGGCTTCTATGCACGATTAACCAGGGGGTTGTATTAAATAAAAGCCCAAGTGGAAAAGGCTGGTTTCCTGCTCTGAAGACCTCAGCTCCTCTGGAAAGTCCTTCCCACACAGCTAGCATGCCATGGATAGAAGCACTTACATTGCTGATAACAGAGAACTTGCCGATTCCAGAGAGAATGTCAAACCAAATCCCTGCAAGACAGAAAGGAGGGCATCTGGCTCACTCCCGCCCTTGGCCCAGTGATGATAACCCTGTGGCTTAGGGTGATACTCTGCAGGCACGTTACCCGGGGAGGTTTGCCAGGCCCTCTAGGAGTGGGCTTGTCTGAAGAGGCTTAGGTGACTCCCCGTCTGGGAACCAGTGGGACAAGTGGGGGTGCGTAATGTGGCCTCTGAAGGCCTCCCAGCACCTAAAGATCTGAGGGTGAGAAGCTCAAAGGGATGAAGCATCAAGAGCTTCCCCCAGCCCTCTCCATCCTGGACATAGTGTGAAGGTGGCCCGCCACAGCGTATAAGCAGGGGACATACCTATATCTTTGGTTCTCACAGCATC